TTTTTCGGCGTAAGCGAGAGTTGACGTGTACATAGAAATATTGGCGGTGAGGCAATGATTGCTGCTCTGCGTGCCGTTGCGGCTACTCGAAGAAGGCGAACGGCTGTGACTGCGATAGTGGGGGACACTCTACGACGTAGGAAAAAAAAAAACAGATCGCATGGGAGAAAGGGTATTGGCAAAGTGCAAAAGCAGCTTGACATTCAAATGAATTAAGCGCTATCGAAAATGATCGAAAACACCGAATCTCCATTTGTGTTCGGATGTAGAGTTCTACTTAAATGATCTGGCCTAGAGTATTGGCAGCTGTGAGAGTAAAACGATAAAGAAAAAGTCAACATAAGATACAATTTTTTATTCTTTATTAATTTTGTTTAAAATTTTAGTATAAAATATTAAGGAAATAAAATTACAAAATTATAAAAACTTTTATATTTATTCCGTAAATACTCTAAACCAGATCGCAGATACCTAATCTGAAATAGTATTTAAGCGTTGCACTAAACTTAAATAGTAAAAAATTATGTATTTTAAACTACCCTGCACCTGCTATTAACTAAGAGTATCAGTAAATTTACAAATTATGCTTTTTAATAACGATTATAAGTTCTCGACTGTGCGCGAGTCTATGTTAAGGGCCGGTTTCCACTATGTCATAGTACGACAACAGAATTTGTCAACATATTTTTAAACCGATTATATTATGGGCCAAAAACTGACAGATAGCCGATTTAGCAGCAAATCGATAAACTGTTTTTTTAGGTCCATTTGAGAATGTGTTTTCACTTATATCGCGACAAATGCCATTAAATTGGACATAGTGAAAACCAGCTTTAAGTAAAAGAAATCTCTAAAAAAATGTCTTGGAGCTTTTTTTAACTACTGTCATTTATGTATCTTCACAGCGCTTAGTTTCAATTTACTCTAATTCTTAATGATATCACTCATCAAATCCGACATTCGCTTTACCAATGAGCTACCGCCGTCACTTCGCGCCGGATCTTCATTCGAGACCAACGATTGCGTTGAACCACCTGAGGGACTACGTGGCGGTTGTAGAGCCGACGAACGTCTCGAGCTAGTATCATTCGGGCGACTGCAATTGTTTGGTATTTTCACAACACAACGTTTATGATAATTTTGACCGCAACCTTGAAAATGAATACAAATGCCATAAAGCAAATACATACTAACGAAGCCATTCGAATCACACTCTTACCATCACATTTGAGTCCTTGTCGCACCAAACCGAACAGCATTTCACCACAGAAATCACAAAATGTTGGTGCTTTGTACGAATGTACATTGAGCGTATGCGGCTTCAAAGTTGGCATTTCCGATGTGGGATACAGGATGGCTGTGGGAGAGGAAATTTAATAGCATATCAATCAGTGGTCTGGGGAAAAGTTGCAAGATAAAACTTTCAGCTTATGAAAATAAGCTATGACCCCACTTACGGCTGGCAGTCAATACAATCTCCACCAACGTCTCATCGACCACTTCTGCAGCTGAGTTGATGATGTGCAACACATTTGGACTGTTGTAGTCATGGCGAAAGATTAATATACGTTCTGGTAGATGTGTTAAGCCGCTGTCGGGTATCTGAAAA